GAGAAATTAAAATAATAGAGGACCCAACTGGTGTCATTAATGAGAAGAAAGAAACGTTTTCCAGACTGATTCAAGATATTACAAAGACAGAAGATGATGACAAAAAGAAAGGCAAAAGTCAGAGTCTGTCAGTTTTGAAGGTGGCCTCAAAAAAATTTGATGAACCCACTTTTTCCACAAACTCTTGCTCGTTTATATTATATAGAAATAGAATACTACAATGCAGAAATCTGGGCAAAAGAAGCAAAGCGGAGGGCTCCTTGGAGTTCATTTGTTGCAGATACACTAGGCCAAGTCCATAAGAGCCACCTAAAGAAGATGCCCGTTTATACCAGACCAAGTGAAATTTTGCAACTGGCCCAAAAAGCCATTGAAGCTTTTGAAGATGAAGAAAAACTTGCTAAAAATGAACATGCAAAGGGTAAACAAGGAGATGGGAATGTAAAAGTCTTGCGTGCTTTAAACACCAGAGGGCTGTTTGGTTATCTGGAAGTTTGCAGCCTGTTGTATGACCATCTTATCAGACATGATGAACTTTGGAAGCAAGTTCTCACAAGAACCGTGTCACTGGACTCTGTCCTGAAATCCACCGGAGATAGGAACATTGTCAGGTTTAAGGAGCTAATAAACAGCCTCAGAGATTTGGTTGAGAAAAGATTTGAATTTTTTGACACGTTTTTAACTTATTCATATTCTGTTGTAAAGAAAGAAGATCCATCCTACATTTCCAGAAAGACAATAGAATGCTACAAAAAGTATGTTGGAGACGCAGAACCAAATGATCAACTCCAGAAAACCTTCCACAAACTTAAACAGAAACTGGCTGTCACTTCTCCGGGAGTACTTTCATGTCTTGAAAGATGCACTAGATCAGACACCAAGGACATTGCTGTATGGTGGAAAGAAATCTGCCAACACAAACATTCTGCTACACATGCCTTACTCAACTACGTTCTGGCCAATATCATGCTGATAAATCTGAAAGAACCTCCGTCCAGCTCCGACTACCAAAGCAGCTTTACAGATAAAATGCCATTGGCTCCTGAGATGCAACCCGAGTTTCACATGTTAGCTCTGCTGTTGTGTTGGCCTACAGATGGTGAAGACGAATTGGCCTCCCACCTCCCTCATTTAATCCAAAATATTCTGCATTCCTATGAACAAGAATATAAGTCACTCTTTCGGTCAAGGTACCTTCGACCCATATTTTTTCTTGGACCGGGTCAGGGTCTGAACAGACTTGTTCACAGACGCAACCTTGAAATCTTGTGGACCCAAGATGCACTGGAAGACCCAAAAACAAACTGGAGGAACGACGATATTTTCACTGATCCGACAGTCCAAGGCAAACTCCTCAGAATTGAAGGTATAGTGCAAGATTACAGGCTGTATGCAACATTTGGTGACACAGAGATCGAGTTAGATGCCAACCGAAAAGACAGCCTCTGGAAAAAAGGCCATGTGTTCTTTTATCTTGGATTTACAATCGGAGGTCCTGTTGCTTACAACGTTCACAGAAGCTGAGGGTAAGAAAATATTAAAATCCTTTCCCTCAACAAATTAAATGCTTTCCTCTTTGAGTATCACATTTTTTCATGTTATAATGACAATAGTTGTTTTAATACAGCTAGGTTGATAATTTTACTTGACCAAATGGTGTTTCCTCCATTTTTCTGCTTTAAAGATGCTAAGATTAAAAAGCATGTTTTTTTATGTACTTATATCATATAGAAATCTCGAACAAGTTAAAGTAATGTTAAAATTGTGCTAGAATTATTGAATTTTGTGAGCTAGCTCTTTAAACGTTAACTTTGCTTTAAGAAGAACCTTCTGAGAGACTTCTGAAAGCTTTTGGCAATGAAATGGTAAGTCTCTGTTTCTGTGGATTTTTTTCTACTCATTTATTGCATCTTACAATAATTGTAAAGATTTTACAATTTCAATGACCATGACAATGTAAAAATATTTTGTACAACAGGACTCCAGTCCGTGGACGAAGCTGAAACCTGAAGTCCAGATAATGGACAAGGTTCATACTTACAGGTGAAGGTTATCACTAATTACAAGACACACAATGAAGTGGTTTGGGTTTAAAGTACCACTTTGTACTATTTGCATTGTGCTATTTCTGACCATAAAGTAATTCATTACAAGTGCCATTTTATATTATTTGCAGTTTTGCTGTTTCTGTTTGTGCATGTGAACCGAGCATAACAGAGCATTTTGTCTTGTCTATTCAAATTCAGCCTGCAGTCTGAAAGTGGCAAATATGAATGCAGCGAGTCTGCCTTGCGGTGGGTTTGTAAGGAAACCATCAGCTTCAGATACCAGTTTAGCTCATGGGAGCGATTCATGAGGAAACCTGTATGCATGGACTACATACCAGCAGGACCCCTAATGGACATCAAAGTCACAGATGGGAAGCTAGAGGAAGTCCGTCTGCCGCACTGGATCTGTACAGGTGAGCAGTCGTAAAACACATATGATTGTTTTATTACAGTAATAAAGATATTTATGCACACATGACTGTTTGTGCTTTGCAGGTGAAGTTGCAGCGATGTCAGACATATTTCGAGTTCTGCATGTGGACAGCAGTGGAGGTTATTTGGAGCAAGTGTCTGAAATGACATCATCCCATGTGAAGTTAAACAAGCCGGAGTTCTCTCTAAGAGGAGCCATGATCCTAAAGAAACTGGGCCTATATCTAAAAGTTTTTGCTGATGTCTTGATATACATGCAAATCACATCTGGCCTCACTCTGCACGTTTACCTGGTCCCACATGATCCTCTAATACAACAGGTAATACAATGCCACATACTGGAGCAACAATATAAAGTAGAAGTGAGGGAAAATATCATCAAGGTGATATATAATAACACAGAGAAATAAAATGCTCTCATTGATAAATACAAAAACACAGTGACACTACAAGGCAGCAAATTAATAGAGTTTGGTCTCTAAATGTTTTGACAACCCAACTAACAACATTACTGACTTTCAGGCAGACAAAACTGCATTAAAAGTTAAGAACTTACAGCCATCTTTATGCTAATGTGATTTAATCATTCTTTCAAAAGCTGTTTTTTGAACAGCTTTGAGCTTTTTTTAACTTTGTAGTTGTTACTTGTGTTTTCTTGCCATTTTCCCTTTTCAGTTACATGGATTGCAGTAGTGCAAATCAATGTTCTCATCTTGATATAAACACAAACACATATGTTCATTAAAGACATGAATAGATGTGAACACGATTCCCAAAGATTTCCAACCATTACTTGTATGTGGAGAATGGTCCATTTTTCCATGTTCCAGGAAGTGGAGAAGAAGGAGAAATCTGACGGATTCAGAAAAATCCAAAAGACAAGTCCTGTTGACCCTGTACAGCTGGAGAGTTATTTCTACCTCTCAACAGACTGGGACACAGCACAAATCTGCCCTGAGGTTTGGACTAAGCTGCATTTCTGTTCATTGCACCATAACATAGAAACAGCAAGAATCCTCAACTTTCCATAAAATGTTTTCTCTGCAGAAACAGCAGTTCATGTTGGAGTGGAGCGACACTAATTTCTTTGAGGTGGTCATTGGAAATGTGAAAAGCGACTTCGGAAACTTGAAACTGAAACTTGAAGTTGAGCGCAGGGGAGGAAAGGAAAAGGACACCGTGTGGACGTGCGCTATCGGAACAGGTTAGTGTTTTATATGTTGTTACCCTAACGCAGCTCATCTAAACTATAAACAGCACCCATCTGACCAATGTGAACCCTTTTATTCCAGATGACTATTAAGCACAAGTATTCACCAAGAACAGGGTAAGAGGTTCGTTTTAATCCATTATTATTTTATAAAGTAAATTCCTTTTTCAAATCTTATGTTTTGCTTATCAAGACTTAATTTAAAAAGAAAACTGGGTTCTGAAACAACCTAAAAACAAACCTGAGAGAAACAAAAGCAGTCTTTCTTCTTCACCCATTTGCTGTAAAGTTCTCACTGTGGTGTGGATCACTGTCTCTTTGCACGATTTCCAGTTTGATCCCGTCGCTATAAAACAAAGCCCAAACCATCACCCTTCCACCGCCGTGCTCGACAGTTGGTTTGAGGTGTTTTTGCTGATATGCTGTTTGGTTTTCTCCAAATGTAATGCTGTGTATTTTGTTCAAACATGCCTACTTACGTCTCACCTATCCAAAATATATTGCTTTTTTTTTCCACATGCAGCATTACTGCTGTTCTTTTTAGATAGAAGATATTTTCCCTCTTTCCAAAAAAAGCCTGTTCAAAACTTGTTCAGTCTTTTTCTAATTGTACTCTCATTAACTTTAACATGCTGAGGCCTGCAGAGTCTCAGATGTAGCTCTTGGGTTTCTTGGAGTTTCTCTGAGCAGGGCATGGTCTAACACTGGGATGAATTCACTGGGATAGTGACTCCTGTGTTGACTGGAAGCCGTCTTGAATGTTTTCTGTTTGCGAATGATCTTTCTTCCCAGACTGAAGAACATCAGCAATTTCTTTTTAAAAATTATTATTGCTTTCCTATTTGGAATTGTGTTAACACACACCTGAATGCTCCAGACTAGGGAACTACTGAATGACTGCTTTTGTAGAGATGCTCACACGTGCTGATTATCAATAATCAAGTGCATTTCTGTATCAGCACCTGGCTGTTACTTGCACAGGGAGCAGTGTGCTTAGTTATTTAGCATTTTGGTTTAATTTTCACTAAATAATGGCGTCATGTTGCTGTTCATCTAAAGTTTCAGTAATTTTACAGTCTTGTAAAGACCAGGAGATTTTCATTAGGTGCTGATATGTAAAACCTTATAACTGAAAACAGCTTCTTTTTTCATGACTATAATGTAGAGCATTACTGTATTTTATTATGTTTTACATTTGCTTTTTATTTTTCTGGACAGCATTTCATGGATCGCCATTCAACGGCTCTGATGGACAGTGAGCGAGGCAGCAGCCGTTCTAGACGAACTCCAGGAAAAAGATCTGATCTCCAATGAGAAATTTGATGCTGTGAGAAATTTAAATGAGCCAAATGAGAGATTATTCAAAGATGAGCTCTATGAAGTCCAAGGGATAAAGTCTCTGAGGTTTCTCATCTATGAGCTGGAGGGATCTCAATGTATTGTTTAGGGAACGTAAAAATATGAACCACATTTTAAAAGTTTTTTTTATTTAACTCAACCAAATATATATTTTTCTCTTGTTTAAAAAAACCTTCCTTTATTTTTTTTAATTGTTTATCTTGTTTTTATCTGTGTAATTTAATTTCTTTTATGTTTTTCTACAACATGGGATACAGATGTTAATGTTTACTCAGAATACAGGCAGATAAAATATTCTGAACTTTTATATTTAAATTAAAAAATACCTGATTGCTACAATTCTAACTTTTAGTCACAGAAATTAAAAATACTACATTTTGTGTCCAAAGGTTAAAAAAGTACAGTGACATGATGTGCATTAAAGTGAACAAAGTTTACAATGAAGCAGAAGAACCAGACAAATAAATATGAAAATATTTTAAGGTGGAAAAATGAGTGTGGTTTTATTTCCCAAAGGTCACAAAATGAGACTAATGTGCACAGGTTTTTTTCCATTTCAGATAATCCATTTATACAGGATGCTACTGAGGAATGATGGGTAATAAATTAGATCAAGTACTGTAGTGTTGATACTCGGTGAAAGTTATTGGTTCATCTGAGCGATGAGCCCCTCCAGCTCCGGACGCGCCTTGAACCGTGCTTGGAAATCAGCTTCGGTGTGCTGAGAGGTTCAGAGGGAGAGAAGTGGATTAGTTTTAAAAATTATGATATGACCAAAAACTACACATGCACATTGCTTTTAAGAGTAAGATGGAGTTTGGTTTGTTATAGTGAGCACTTTTAATGTTCTCCAACAATTATGGACTAAAAGATGAACATGCAACAGCTTACTCACCTCCGTCACAGAGAGCTGAACTCCCTCGGGTTGATTCTTTAAGAGGACGTCCATGAAGACGGGACACAGCGCGGCGTTCAGAGTGCTCAGCTGGACAAAAAGTAATAACACTGTTAACAGTTAGGTCTTTAAAACCTCTCAGTACACCTGCAGCACCTGTAGTTTGAGCACAAACAACCTTTTGGTTAGCATGTCTTTGACAAACCCAAGCAAACATGAAGGAACATAACTTCTGCAAAAACTGTTCAAGAGATTTCTTGTTGTGTCACTTCTGGTCACACCTGCATCACCCAACAGTTCAGTACAACACTGAGCTATCATATTGTGAGCCATGCAGACTTTTGTTTCAGATCTCCCATCTTGTTGGAAGGTGATGATCAGATGACTGAAAGGCTGCATTTGATCCTCCAGTGAAAGGTTAACATCATCTTCATGTCTGAGCAAGTCCAGGCACTGAGACTCCAGGAGATATGAACCTGGTACGTAGGCATTCAGCAGACACAGGAAGGCAGCAAGCTGCATCTTCAGTGGTTTATTTGTTCTTTTGATATGTTTGAATGTAGCACATCCGTTCCTGATGTAGGCTTCAGAGAAATTAGACTGCAGAATGTTAAAACCATGAAACTGCTTGCATCGATCACCAAATCTTCTGCCAAGCTCTTCTTTTTTCATATCAAAGTCTGCTTGCTCTCTGTCTGAGAGAGATTTTTTGAGAATAATAGAATCTCTCTTTTTTCTCTTGAACTTTTCTTTCAGTTCGTAGGAATGATCCCTTTGGTGGATAACCCTGTCACTGCTTCTCACACAGTTCAGTAAAATGACCACTGCCATATCTATATCCATGTCCTGTTCCGCAATCTCTTCCATAATCCTGTCCTGGAGGATGTCCAATATGAACTCATCATTTAGTAACAACAGTACAGTGTTCTGGTGGCCATGGCTACCTGCTGTAAAAAGGCTGACCACATCTTGCACAACTTTTGTGATATCTAATTTTGAGCCTGTCAAAACAGCACATCTGAAGGTTTTCCTCAAGTCCCACAGCACCTGCATAGCCAGTGTGGTTCCCCCACATCCTTGTTGATGAAACAGTTTAATTGTTGATGTCCCAGGGCCTTTTCTTCTCAGGTGAATTTGTTCTTTAAGGGTTTCATATCCATCTCGTTTGATAAAAGGAGTTGCAGTGCCATCTGACACTGCTTGTTCACTGATATAGAAGTTTAACCAGTTTGGTGGGGCCCCTCTGTAAAAGTTTTCCTCCACTTGTTCAGTGTGTTGCGGTTCAAAAAACTCTTCTTCAAACTGATTGGCGTAGAGGACATCCAAAAATGAGAAGGAACTGATTTTACTCGTTACATATACTTCTCCACCTTCAGCAGTGGACAGGGCTGGTCTGTTTGCCATCTTCACACTTTCACTTTACTTCATGGTAATGAATGTAAAAACAAAACACAAACATTTGTTAGTCTTATGTCTTAGCTTAAACTATTTGTAATTAGCTCTTACATTCACTTTATGGAATGTGATATATTTAAATAGCCATTTCATTGCTGGTAGTCACACAATATATAGCCTTCCCATGTAAAGAACCAACTTCAATTCAAAAAATTATTGCTTTCAGATCTTAAGGGATTTTCTTACCTTCTTACCCAAATGTACACGGACAGCTCTACAGACTGCTATTAGGCTGGTTCAAGCACTGGGACCGTGATGTGTCTGTAACCCAGGAGGTAGTCGCACACCCAAAGCAGGAATGGATATCCTCGGTACAAACATGTACACCTCTACACGTATTTAACAGTCCAGTTTCAGCAGTATTTAAAAAATCCCAGGCGAATGTCCTATCTTACTACACATTTTTTTCCTGTTTTTAAAGCAGGGGCAATACCTTGACTCGTTCAGTCAATAAATCAAGCTGGCAAAATATTGCACAATTAGAAGCAAAGATTGGAAATTTGCAAATTATGCCAACAAAATAATAAAATATGTGTATGATGTTAATTATTGCCTATATTTCAAACATTACCGCTACTTTTTAAAGGGTAGTGATCATGTTCATTTGATATAGGAAACGTTCAGTCACAACAGGAAATACTGAAGGTTTCACTATGAACGGTTTAATGATGAAAGATTATTCTTTCTCCCTATTTCGACCTTGTGGCTGCTGTTCAGGTCTCAGTTTGCAATTAAACAGTCCTCGAGTATTTGGAAACATTTAAACAAATAAAAGGAGGGCATTAAAATACGTTGGGATGTAAGCAAATGTAAATAATCAATGAAGAGTGTTTGGAAGCGCATCAAAAAAAGAATATTTATGTGGCTTGATCACAGACAGTTCTCTATTATCCAAAAAATGTTTTTCACTCTCTTTTTCTGTCACATTAACTCTCTTTCACACACACACACACACACACACACACACACCCAAAACACCAAACACACACCCCACCACACAAAAACACAACACCACACCACCACACACACACACACACACACACACACACACGCACGCACTTTATCTTTAATGAATGCTGACCTATGTTTTATAAAATCATGTGTACATAACCTGGTTCTGGTCTTAAAAAGGGTAAAAGGACATGACAGACTTACATAGAGGTCACTCTATAAAAAAAAACTCCTCTCACCCCTACTGGTGGTCTATGTGGGACTCTACCAGAGGCCACCACCACTATATCCGGTTGGTTAGCCACCACCATTTTGTCCGTCTGTATCTGGAAGTCCCACAGGATCTTAGCTCAGTCATTCTCCACCACCCTAGAGGATGTCTCCCATTTTGACCTCTGGACTTCCAGGCCATATTTGGCACAGATGTTTCTGTACACTATGCCGGCCACTTGGTTATGGCGTTCCATGTATGCCCTGCCTGCTAGCATCTTGCACCCTGCTGTTATGTGTTGCCATCTTCCTGATGTATTTGTGGATGTTTGTTGTCTCATCCTGGACCGTGGTACTGACACTCACCAGTCCCCGTCCTCCTCCTTTCCGCTTAGCATACAGGTATCATTCTTAGTGCTGCAATCACATCATCTAGTAGATCTTCTGAGGGTACTTCACCTAGTCTTGGTAACTGGCTACGGGGGATCCAGGTTTCCCCACCTCTCATCAGGGTGCCCTGGTACCTAGACACCTGTCTCGGACTTTGTTGATTAGGGTGACATCCGAGATGGCATGTCTTTATATTTCTCTCTCTCGTTCATGTCGAGAATAAGACAGAAGGGGGGGGGGGGGGGGGGGGGGGTCTTAGCCTAGGACTCTTACTGGATACAGATGCCCCAGGTGGGAATCAAACTTATGACTCCTGCTCCAGAGATGTACATATATATGCAAAAGTATTCCCTTGTCTGCCTTCACATACATATGTTCACTGTTTTCTTTATGTTGTTGTTGTTGTGATTTGGTGCTATATATAAAATAATCGGCTTGCCTTAAGTGAGATCCTATTTTTAATCCATAGAGTTTAATATGCAGCTATATCCAGAGGTGGGAAGCAATGAAGTACAAACACTTTGTTACTGTACTTTACATGAGTATTTTTTTCCTGGTATCCAAGAGGCTTCTTCAATTCTTAAACCAAAAGGTGGAAAGTCCCAGGCATTTAAAGTGGGGATTGTCAGTGATTTATTATTAATTAATGTTAATATTATTTCACTACTAATCATGTCTCAAAATAAATTAAAAGCATGTTTAACAATTTATGGTATTATTAAATGATGCCAATATTTCATTTTGAAATAATTTTATAAGACGTGGCACTTCACAAAACTAAAGGCCAGACGTGCAAAACTGTTAGGCTGGGCTTTAAACAACTAACTGTTTCAGATGTACTAAATAATCTGCAAACAAATTTTGAATTAATAGTAAATATAAGTTACTAATTAGGGTGGCTGGCCTCTCCCTTAGAGATAGGGTGAGAAGTTCGGCCATCCGGGAGGGGCTCAGAGTAGAGCCGCTGCTGCTCCACATTGAAAGGAGCCAGCTGAGGTGGTTCGGGCATCTGACAAGGATGCCTCCTGGGCGCCTCCTGGGTGAGGTGTTCCAGGCATGTCCCACCGGGAGGAGGCCCCAGGGCAGACCCAGGACACGCTGGAGAGATTATATCTCTCGGCTGGCCTGGGAACGCCTTGGTGTTCCCCCGGATGAGAGGAGGTGGCGAGGTCTGGGCTTCTCTGCTTAGGCTGCTGCCCCCGCGACCCGGCCCCGGATAAAGCGGAAGAAGATGGATGAAATATAATTTTTCAAATATGTCTATGAAATCAGTACCAAATGTGTGTAAATGTGCAATTAAATACTTTATTGAGTAAACTCGGATAATAAAACAAACAGCTCTCCTAAACTAGACAAGAACAATAAGTAAAACGAAATCAAACACTGGTTAGACAGGGGTAAAAACAAACAAACAAAAACAAACAAACAAACAAACAAACAAACAAACAAACAAACAAACAAACAAACAAACAGCTGAATATAAATCCTTTTCACATTTAAACTTGGATAAATCCATAACATTATTGAACCTTTATTTAACAGCATGTACATCCTCTTTTATACTTTAGAATATAACACATAAAACAAACACAAAAAGGCAACCTTTAATTGAGAGGACCCAAATGCAGATGCCTGTATACGGGACTTAACAAAAGCAAGCCATTTATAGAGGTTGCACAAAATACAAAACAAAAGGCAAACGTAGACTAAGACT